AACTGATTTAACCTTTCATAACTATGTTTCCTCATCCACAAATGGGGATGATAACAGTACCCATGGAATAGGGCTGTTGTGAGAATTTAAAAAATAATTAGAGTTTAGGACAGTAGTTAAATAGGGTAAGCACTTATATAAAGTATCTGTTAAATAAATAGAAAAGATTGGCAAATGCTTCCTGGTCTGAGGTGTAAACTTTCCTGACTGTTTCTTCAGGACGGGTGGTTGCCATGGAGATGAAGTTGGAAGTGGGGTTCACCCAGGTGTTTGTCCACCACTGGTTTCCAGCCTCCCCAATGACACACCAAGCAACGAGGTCCCTGAGGTGATGTGAAGGGAGATATATTTGATGGTGGTCTGCCCTGGGAACCCTCAAACTCTCCTAGGTGGGAACCTCACTGCAAGGGTGATTTTCCCAAGAGAAACCTGGGGCTGGAGGACCCAAGGCCCAGCCTGGGTTCCCTGAAACTGGGTACCCGATGAGGAGTCAGAGCCAGGACACTCAGAGACAAGACATGAGCCATTCTCTGGGAACCAACCACCCTACCTTCCTACCCAAGTATGTGAAAGGAGATGCAAGTTCTACAGAACTGCTCTGGAATACGCCATACTGACAAGCCTCACCAGGGCTGCTACCAGTAGGGATCCAAAAAGGTCACTCACCCTCTACCTCAGTGTACCCTCCCAGTGCCCAGAAGATCAGAGGCATCTCAAATCCACCTTCTCTAAAGATGGGGGAAGGCACCGTAACATGGGAAGTAAAGAAAAATTAAGCAGGTGAGGAGGGGCTCTAGTTCAGTACCCATAAAATAGCTGGCATAGAATTAACACTATTAGGAATCTCTTCAGGTGTGGAAGAGAAGCCAAACAGAACTCTGTGACACTGGACATTACTTAACCTCTCTGACCCTGGTATTTTTGCCTGTAAATGAAGATAACCACAGTGTTGCCTTCAAAAGGCTGCTGTTACAAGTACACAAAAAGTATCCAGCAAGGTGCCTGGCACACAAGAGTATGATACAGGGTGCAGCCAAGGGGGGAACTCCCCAAAGAGATTTGGAATGGTGTCCAGAATTCAAACTATATAGGAATATTAGAGAGACATATAAGATGTCTTCACTGCCCCCCCCCATGGGGAAAGGACAAATGGAACAGGGCCATTGAGAGCTGTCTTGCATAGCAACAGTTTGCAGCTAACCTCTGGAATGATTATTTAACATATCTATAACCTTTAACTGGTTTCATAGATATGTTAAATAGCTGTAGCCAAGTTATGAGCCAGGGAGAAGGGAGTGGCTTCTACCCAGGATGTAACTAGGGGCTGCACCCCAGAGTGAGAGTGGCCTGTGTGAGAGCTTGGAAAAGATGGGCTCCCAGACATGAGGGGATAACTGCCCAGATGAAAGAGAGAGCCACGCATCTTCAGCAAGAGGGGACCCCCCCTCTTGGCCAGGTGAAGAGAGCCACGCAGTTTCAACAGAGTGAGGACCCCTCTTGGTGAGGTAAAAGAGGGAGCCACGTGGTTTTGGCAGAGTGCAGACCCCCTCTTTCCCAGGTGAAAGGGAAAGCCACGCAGCTTTGCCAGAATGGAGATCCCTGCAGCCAGGTGAAGAAGAAAGCCACATGCTTTTGGTGAAGTGCAAACCCCTGCAGCTTTGGTAGAAGCCCACGCGGCTTTGGGGGTGCCCCTTTGGCTGTGTAGCCTGGAAAGCAGGAGAGACTTTGACTGGAACTGGGTACAAAGAACTCTTGCCAGTGGACCATGAGAGGGTACCGCAGTACTTTAGATTAACTAGAGATCCTGCCTGACACAGCCGACGATACCAGTGGCCTGAAACACAGACATGTGCTCTTTTCCTGATTTACGGTACCTGGAATTGGGATAGTGGGAGAAGGGAGAGCTGTGTGTGTATGGGTGTATACCCTAAAGGACTTTGATATTTTAGTGGAGGCGTTAGGCCTAAATAGCATTAATAAACATTTCATTTCCTTTTCAAAAATCTCTGGCATTGAGAGATGTCTTTCCAATTGGTGGCGGACAGAAGAGCCCAGTAGATATTAGTATTCCATCCTTGGGAGGGACCCCTGTTGTGTAGCAGTTTTGGGCATCCCTAGATGGGCCAAATCTTGCCCCCCCTCAGACCTCTTGTTCTGTAACAAGTAGAGTGTTCCTGCTTATTAAAAAGACAGTCATAGTTCCCATAGTCATACTATGGGAAAATGAAGGTAGAAGCAAGGTAGTTTGGCCAGAGGCTTACTGGAATTTACAGGTCAAAGTGGGACTAGAACCCATTTTTCCAAATCCTGACCTCAAGGTATTTCTACTTCATCCTGGTTTGCCCACCCGTGTCTGGCAGGGGCCTAGGAGGAGGCTGTGGAGCCAACCTCCTCATGCACCCCAGCATTACATTCTGTCTTAGCCCACTCCACCTAGCGCCACTGGTGCTTTTTCTGCTTGGGCAGGATTAAACTGTTAAAAGGTTTCCTGACATTAAAGAGCCTAATCTCACCTTGTTTTCCAAACAACATTATTTTATAATCTTCATTTCCCACCACTGCCCAGACCACCAGTCTGTCTGGGGACCTTTGGGTTTAATAATCCTCAAGGGTCAATAAATAGGGTTGCCCCAACACCAGTTCTTTGCACATGAATATGCAAAGCAGCTCTGATCCAGTAAATAAAAGCAATAATTTAAATGCAAATTACATCCTTGGCTGCTCAGTAGGGCTTGTTGGTTTCTCTAAGGTTGCAATTCTGACAAGAAAATATGACTAACTCAGAATCCTTAGGAAGCTTTGTGTGGAAGTGTTTATGGGACCCTGGGCTCTGGGTGGGGGTTGCTTAGAGTAGACAAGAACTGCTTAAAAGTGGGGAGTGGATTTTAAAACCAGAGCCAATCCTTGAATACACTCACAGGGCTGACCAAGCTCAAAGTGGTCTCCCCACAAGCTGGCAAGCTGGACAAGGACCCTAGGAGGCTCCTGGAGCCTTGCTATCCCTAGAGGCAGAATAAAAGAAAAGCTACTTCCTGTGTTCTTGTCAAAGTTAGAGGAATTTTAAAAATCAGATAGCGTAGCTTCCCATTTAACACTCTGTAAGTGTTCACTGGCCAAAGGAGAATAAAACCTAAACTCCTTTCCATGACCCAAAAGATGGAAGTCTGGCTGGTCTCTGCAGTTCAGTCTTGCCTCCTACACACAAGCATCTGCCCATGAGCTCTAACCACAATGGCCTTTGTTCAGTTCCTCTAACTTCATTCCCACCTCTCGGCCTTTGAATTTGCAGTGCTCTCTTCCCAGATCTCCCAGAGGCAGGGTCTGTCATCTTACAGGGCTCCACTAAAATGTCACTACCCAGAACAGCCTTCCCTTATACACACAAACCCTTGTCACTTTCTTTACAGCATTTTGTTTGATTTTCCTGGTGGGCCTTATCCTAAACGGAAGTTATGTCTACTACATATTTACTTGTTTATTGTTTGTTCGTCAGCCTCTCCAGAGCCTGAGGGCAGGGGCTTGTTCATGTTATATACCATAGTGTCCCAGACCCAGTTCTGTAGCTGGCACACTTATTGAAATAACAAATTAATCAATGAAGATTTTGAGCTTCTATTTCTAACAAAAAGAAAATTTTTGCTATGTCTTGCTATGCCCCAAATGGCAACTCCTCCCTTTCATCTTCTTCCCTTCCCAACTAAGCTGACCCCTTTTCAGACTTAAAGCAGGGAACAGGTAAAATAAGTCCCCTTTATTCTAGAAACAAAACTGGCTTAGTGGAGGGCTTCCAGCCCACAGACACCTATCTGCACCCTATCTGCATTCATCTGCATGCGGTTCAACTCAAAGTCTGAATCTTCCAAAATCCCCCAACTCACCGAGGAAACTTCTAAATCAAGGCTCCTTGGCTGAAGTTCTGAGGCTTTTTTGCCAAGTTCCATCCGACCCTAACTTCTCTAGTCTTTACGAGGACGCCCCAGATCCTCCCCGGTGGGACTCAAATGCGTCCTCTCGCCTCCACCTGGAGCAGTTGCGCAGCCAATGTGGCGTGTGGGCCGGGCCCCAAACAAGGATGCTGCTGCCCACCACACTTCAGGGGTCTTTGTCCGAGCTTCAAGGAGACGCCCCCCCCCCCTTAGTGAAAGGAGGACAAGGTCTGCGTGTTTGCATGGCGAAGGTGGGGGCGGGGTGGCTAGGCCTGGGTGTGACAGAGCAAGGCCTGGGGAATGTGCCGAGCTGCGCGGGGAAGGTCTGTTCCCTCACTCCCCAGTTGGTTAACCAGCTCTCCGCCCCGGATCTAGGCGGGTGAGCGCGGAAGGGATCCCGGGATTGGAGCCCGTGTACCCCGAGGAAAGGGAACGTAGCACAGGACTAGTCCTCACCCCCAGCCCTCACACTAACCGCCGTACAGAAACGCCAACTCCCCCGGCCCCCTTTCCCACCATTGCATGCGGCTGCCCCTCATTGGTCCTACAGCCTCAAGTCTCAACTCAGTCTCTTTTTGTCTGCAGTGTCGCCTCCTTGTCCCCCGTAGTGAGAAACCACAGCCGGCTGCGAGCTTAACCCCTAGCCCCCGCAGCAGGTGTGGCAGCTCACCCCCAAAGCCATGTCCTTGTGCCCCCCCACCCCCGCTCTGCCTGCCAAGTCTTTGGTCAGCCCCCACGGGCTTACTATGCGATCTCCGTACCTGCCTGAGACTCCTCTCACACGAAGAGTCACTCCGGCAAGGCTGGATTCCCTTATACTACTCCCAGCTGCCCTTTACTTGTCTGCAGACTCTCCTCAGACACTTGGATCTCTACCCTTCCATCGCCCGCCAAAGGTCGCTAGTCTTCCCCCTGGTCCCAGCCCTACTCTCTGCGGCTCCTCTCCGCTGGAATGTGGTTCCTCGCATCCGGATCCCCATCTTCCCCAAGAGACTAACCCCTTGGTATTAGAAAAGCACAAGAAGCAGACCCCCTAATCCTCCCAAGTCCACGCGGGAAAAGTTTCTAGAATACCTGCAGAGCCTTCCACACCATCAGCATGACTCGCACTCACCGACCTCTGCGGTTCCGTAGCGGCGACGTTTCCGATAGCCCTCAGTCGAGTCACATCTCTGCTGCGCTGCGGTGGCCCCCGCCCAGTGTGCACCAGCTCTGGCCTCAAAGCATCACCCTCGCTAACTTCTGCAGCGCGAAGCGCCCCCTGGCCGGGCGGAGCTGTTGCAGCAGCAGCGTCCCCACCCCTCCCGCAGGTCCCTGTCCTGAGCCTCAGAGACAAGGTCTTCCCCTCCTGCCTTGCAAACTGCTGTGCACCAAACCCACCACCAATATATAGCCCTCACCCAGCAGCGCAAGCTCCTCGGTCCTTTCCCAGAGGATCCCCTTCATTGTCACAAATTCGGGGACCAGCTCCCTCCGCGTTAACAGTGCTTCATAAACAGTCCAGAAACGTCCCCAGGTTGATCCAGTTACACTAACACACGGAGGGATAGTCCCAAGAGGGTCCCAGTGCAGAAAGCATTTACCTGGCCCACGGCACTCTCCAAAGTGGCTTACTAAAGAGTAACTTCCCCACAACATCACCAGATCCAGAACGCAGAGAGGGTTCCACGGCGCACTTTCCAGAGTCACCTTTGTGCCCATATACCACCCTGTACACTTCAGCCGCTTAGCGTCTTCTAAGCAGGTTGGAACGCAGCCCTTTACTGCCACGGCGCACTCCACTCTACCTACCCCAAACCGCTCTTGTCACTGCTACACTGGGTCAGCACCCGCGTCATACTCACGTACTCACACGTGTGCACATCTCGCGTGGGTCCATAAGCAGGATCTCCAACACCAACGTCTCACACATCACCCAGGTACACACATGTTCACCACTCTCCAGGGGCGGGGGGGGGCGCACATACTCCGAGGCCCCGCGGCCACTGGCTGTGCGCTCCACAGACACTCTGGGCACAGCCAGGAGGCGCGCCCACTTACGGACAGTGGGACAGGTTGGAAGGAGGTGTCTGGGTAGTATCGCACCTCAGCAAAGTCCACCTCGGCTCCTAGTTTACCATACAATCTGAGGTGGGCATTGCTCCGACTGGACTTGGGAAGCTTCATTCCATAGGCTGCTCCTGCTGGGCTGGTTCCCCAGTCGACTGGTAGACCAGATTCCTCACGTCTCCCCTAAAAAAATCCCGGAACTTGGGGACCTTTCCAACTCCAGTTATTCAGGGTGAGACCCTCCTCACCCTATCCCATCCAGGCCTTACTGGACACGACAAGGAAAAGATTCCTGCTCCCCACTTCCCTGCGGTTGGGCTGGGGGATGGGGAAGCAGGAAGGTGGCAGAATGACACTGCATTCCGGGGTCGTTGTCTGCCTTGATCTTTGGGGACCACGGACCTTCCCTCATTCCTTCCATCAAGCCTGGCCCCAGCCAGGATGGTTTTCTGCTAGTCAGCCCACATAGGCATCCACGTGAATATTGTTATTTGTAAGGAAAATGAAAGAAACAGCAGAAAAAATTATCCTGTTTTATTTACTGATGTATGTTCTGTGCCTAAAACAGTGCCTTAGACACAGAGAGTGATCATTTAATTTTTAAAAAAGATTTTGTTTATTTATTTTTAGAGTCAGGGGAAGGGAGGACAAGGGAGAGAAAGGAAGAGAAACCGCTACTGGTTTCTTCTTGCATGGGCCCTAACTGGGAGATGAACCGGGAAACCTGTTACTTTGCGGGACGACTTCCAACCACTTGACCCACATCTGTCAAGGAGCCATCATTAAAAGCTTGTCTGCAGATCCTCCTCAGTGTTTAACACCGGACTGCGGAATTGGAAAGTGGATGGGCAGTTCCACCTGGTGGTACCTAAGGGAACTGATGCCGAGATCCTTTTCTTTCCCTTCAGGGCAAGACCTTCTAAGCTTTAAATTCCTCATAGGCAAAGGAGAAATAATTTTAGCAGATCACATGCTTGTTAGGGCTGTCGTGAAGATGAAATACTTAACACAAGTAAAGTGCTGCATGTAGAGTCCAGCACTTGAAAAGCCCATAGTGTGAATTGATTATTACTATAGTTGTCATATTCTCTTTCCTGACTTATTTTATAGAGGGACCCTGACTGTGATAACCAGTTTAGCTTTAGGAGATGTTACTTTTGGTATCAAAGAGTAAAAGTAGAGAAGGATATCGAGCGACAGGTTCATCTCCCCACAAACAAGTTCAAGGACCCATGGATCATCATCAACATCATCAACAACATCATGACCTATGTAGTGTTTACTGTGCGTCAGGCAGAGCTCTAACTGTTTACTCTTATTTAAAGTATTTAATACTTCCAGCAATGTTCTAGGCCACATATTGTACTATTATTCACTTCATGTTATGAACAGAGACACTAAGGACAAAATGGATTAATTACTGGCCCACAATCATACAGTTGGCAAAGCTAGGGTACAACCAAGGCTGTTTCTCTCATCTACACTAAACTAGTGTCACCTGCTGCAAGATTAGATATTACCACAGACAAGCTTCATGTCCCTGGAGAGCTCCTTTAGTCTCCAGCCTGGAGAGAACAGTTCTAGGAGGTGCCGGGAGATATGTGAGGTTCTTAAATGCTCTATCCACTTTGAGAGATTGAAAAATAGAGATTTCCTTTGTTCTATTCCTCATCTGAAAATGGAGAAGACATTGCTTGTTGCTCGTCACTGACAAATGTTATGTCATATAACTAGGTGTTTGGCTCCTTGTTTAGCTCTGTCTTCCCAGCTGGACTGTATCTCAGTGTACAAAGAACTCCATAAGAACTTTGTACAATGATTAAAGGGTTCATATCTGTGCTGTCCCATATGGTAGCCACTGACTGTATATCACTAGAGAGCATTTTATATGTGACTAGTATGACTGTGGAGCTGAACTTTCACTTATTTTCCTTTGATTAATTTTAATTTAAATAGCCTCATGTGGCATGTGGCTAATGGCTTTCTCCTTCAAAGCATGTCTTTTAGTATCCAAATGATGCAGACTCCAGCCCTCCAGAGTCTGTGTGTTGTGGATGAGGTAAACAAATTCACATGGAGTACTGAGTCCTGTGGAGAAAAAGGGACAGCACAGCCACTCTCTCAAGAAGAGATCATGCTGACCCTTGCCTGGACAGGCTTCTATTGCTTTCCAGTTGCATTACATCAGAGAAGGTTCTCATTATTTCTAGATTTAGTTAAGTGATTACTTTTTACAGATAGCAAAAAAGAGAAAAAAGTTGCAAATGCAAGGGAATGATAAAAAATGATTGATTTGGTGACATTTTGTCCTTGGGAGATCTAAGTGCAGACTTTAGGGAGTTGCTTTAGAGGTATACATTAAACATCTACAATCTTAACTCAGGGTGAGGGATTTTTAGCAAAAACAAGTCTCATAGCAGCCTAGGTACAATGCAGACCTGATTCCCCATGGGAAAGCCGATCTGCACACCTGGTTCCTGTATGCTGCCTCACATTGATCAGTTTTCCAGATCAATACTGGGCTACATTTGCCACTGCCATGCTGATTGGTTCCCTATATCCAAACTCATAAGGAAGATCCTAATTTCTCTGCTAAGTGGATCATCTCCCAAATGAATGTGTCACTCAGAGTTCCAGAGTTGCCAAAGTCCATTTCCATGGATTATCTTGCTTTAACTATGGAAACTTCCCAGGTAGGTATCCATATTTTGCTGTGACAAACTGAGGTTTAAAGAAGGTTGAGTGACTTTTCCAAGGTCTCACAGCTGGTAAACAGCAGAGTCAGGATGCAAACCTCTTCACCTCATGCTGTTCCTACTTTATCCCACTGTGTCATAGGTGAAATTTCTGGAAAAATCAATTTAATTTCATGGAAGAATAAACTCTAATGGTGGGGATGCAGACACCTGATAGGCAATTTTCAGTACCCATCCAATTGAGCAGGCCCTGAGGGTATCAGTAGCACTTTCCCTGGGTGTGTGCCTGATATTGTTGTGGTTCATACAAGGACTGGAGGTGGGTCCTGCTGTCAGAGAGCTCCATATAGGAAGCAGATTGTCTTGATAGAGAGTGAGATATGGATAGCACAGGGCAAGTGGGAGGGCCTCCTACTTAATGGAGTCCTGGAAGCCCTTGCTTGGCAAGGCTGAGGAGGGGCTTGAGTTTCTCAGACTCCAGCACTTAACTTTCCCTCTCAGAGGGAAAGGGGACAGTGGCATCTATGGATACAACCTTGGAGTGAGCAGCCAGGAGTAAACAAATACAGGATAGACTATTGCTACCACTATATTATTTTTAAATATATTTTATTGAATATGCTATTAAAGTTGTCCCATTTTTCTCCCCTTTATTCCCTTCAACCCTGCACCCCCTCCACTAGCATTTACCTTCCCTTAGTTCACGTCCATCGGTCATACGTATAAGTTCTTTGGCTTCTCCATTTCCTATATTATTCTTAACCTCTCCTGTCTATTTTGTACCTACCATTTATGCTTCTTATTCCTTGTACCTTCTTCCACATTCTCCCCCATCTCCCTCCCCACTGATAACCCTCCATGTGATCTCTATTTCTGTGAATCTGTTCCTGTTCTAGTTGTTTGCTTAGTTTGTTTTTGTTTTTTCAGATTCAGTTGTTGATAGTGGTAAGTTTGTTGTCATTTTACAGTTCATATTTTTTTTATCTTCTTTTTCAAGTTCCTTTAACATTTCATATAATAAGGGTTTGGTTATGCTCAACTCCTTTAACTTGACCTTATCTGGGAAGTGCTTAACTGCCCTTCCATTCTAAACAATAGCTTTGCTGGAGAAATCTTGAATGTAGGTTCTTGTTGGAAACTGCTCTGCCTGATTTCAGGAATTTCCACCGTTTAAGGCTGAGTGTGCGAACTTCAGAATGCGAGCCACTGAGAAGACAAGGCTTGTCTCTGGCAGAAGATGCTGCCCCTGCTTCATCCCCCTGCCCCCAAAACATGATCGGAAATCAGTTATGGGTAAGACCCCCTGGGAGGCAACCTAAGCCAGACTTGATCACTTGGGAGGCCATCATGGCAGGACTGGGGGGGTCACAACAAGGAGGGAGTGAGAGGCCCTCACCCCCCCACTCTAACATAGCCTAGTCCCC